GCAATTTCCACTTTTTTCAAATAATTTCTACGTTTTTGGTGCTCATTTCTGCTTCTTTCTGCCTAATTGGCCAAATGGTTTTTTTTTTTTTTTTTTTTTTTTCTAATTTCTTCAACTAATTGTTCTACTTTTTCAGCATTTCTTAGCTAATTTCAGCTGTTTTCAGACATTTTCCACTTGTTTTTGCTCATTTCTGGTTCTTTCAGCCTAATTAACTACTTTCTACTAATTACATCTTGTAATGCACCATTCAGCTTTTTTCTGCTAGTTTCAGATTTTTATGCTATTTCAGCTACCTTTTAGCTGACTGTGTGCTAAATCTAACCTTTTCAGCTAATTCCACATTTTTTTAGGTCATTTTGGCTCCTTCCACTTTCTTCTGGTAGTTTAAGTTTCTTTATGCATTTTCAGCTATTCTTTTGCTAATGTCTGCTTTTTTAGCTAATTTCCTAATGTTTTGCTAATTTCTGCTTATTTAAATATAATTCAGCAAATATGTGTTCTTTCTGCTTTCTTCTGCTAAGTTAGTCTTGTGCTTCCATTTCAGCTACATTTCAGCATGTTTTTAGCTATTTTCAGCTGTTTTTCAGCAAGTTCTTCAGCTATAAGCATTCACACTGCATTTTAGCAGGAAATGCAATGTCTCTGGTTACTTTTAGCTTTTAGCTACAGTTTTGCTACTTTTAGCCAAAGTTTTGCAACTTCCCGCTCAATTCAGCTTTAGATAACTTTTCGTTATGTTTACGTTTTAGGTGCCATTTTAGCTTCTTGATGATTTCCCCCCCTCGTACTTTTAACCTTTTGTTACTTTTAGTTTTTAGCTAGTTTTTCTTTTTAGGTTTTAGCTGGTATTACCATCTCGGTTTTTCAGCTTCATCAGAAAAGTCATTCAGCAGTCAGACTGATTGTTGCAGAAAATGCAGAGTTGCTGTTTGTTGTGCTGCCTGGTGGTCAGCAGGCTCACAGGGTACACTTCCCCTCTGAAGGTAACACAAAAGGCAAAAAAGTGTCCTCTTTGCTAATGTGATTGTTATTGTTTATGACACTTAATTCCCATCTGAGCTCAACTTGTTTTTGTGCTGCGAGCATCTGTGAAGGTGCAACGCTGGAGGATTATTTATATACACAAATTATTCTGAGCTAAAGTTTGTGGTTTAAGTCTGTTTTTCCCCTGTGGGGATGTGTAACACACTCACACATCATATCTGTCTGTCGATTAAAATAAAACAGGCTCATTTACATAGCTGCCACTTGTTTTTTTTTTTTATTACAATATTTTCTTTCATCCGTTGCGTTGCACTCTCTGGAGGGTTCCATTGACCTTGTTGCACCTTTTGTTTGGCTTTTCTACAAATGATCTTTTCTTACTGCCTGCGCATTCAAATGCACATGACAATAACAGCTAACACAGAGTTACAATCTCACAAACATCAAAAGACTTTAAAGGCGAACTCGGTCCGTTTTACACATCAAAGTGTGTCGGCAGGTTTTTCAGCCCCGAGACTGTGAAAGTTGATGAAGTTTCTTCTGCTTTCACAGGGAGCTGCAGGGTAGTGCACAGATTCAAGGTTAATAATTATTGTGAGCAAGTTGAAACGTTCAGCAAACACTCCTCATCTCTGCTTGATGCAGCATAGCTGCTCGCAATAAGATTATTAAAGAAACGCAGGTCACTAGTCCAGAAAGATGACAGCTCATTACTTACACTGTTGCAGTTAAGTGTGTTGTAAATCTTATCAGCTGTCTTGCACCATGCCATTAATTGCTTTAGGGAATTAAGAGGACACAGGCAGCGACCTAATCAAATGCATTGATTAAATGATCCTTGGTAATGATCAATCCAATAAAAGCACAAGTTTTGTCCGTTTTCTGCTCTGGACCACAGTTGTGTCAATCTGCCGTGAGTTATGAGACCATTTCCAAACAATTTCAAGCCCATCGTCCACCGAGGAGACATCTACCCTTAAATGAACATCCTGTTCCTCTTTCAAATTTACCTCTGCTGAGCTGAAACAAGTAGAGATGTTTACCCATAATGCACAGCAGTACATCAGCACAAACATCTCAAAGCTGTCGAGCACGGTGGTGGAGGGGTGATGGTTTGGGCCTTACTGTCACTGAGTCGTCCCGCCGCATTTCAAATACAGTCAAATGAGACCATCAAACATTTAAAGGGTTTATAACTGAGCAGTAAAAATGGTTTAAACTTATTCCTAAAGTTCTGCATCGGGTTGCTTTAAAGAACCATGTACGGTAACAAAAATGGGACCTTTTCCGTTTGAAGTTTATTTTTATCTATGTATTTGTACTCAAACCTGATGTAAAATACATTTTTGATTATATGTTGAGGAAGAAGCCTCGAAGAAGAAAGCCTGGAATATAATTAAATGGAGAGGAAAAGGTCTATGCTGCACATCTGCAAATAATTTACATTTTGAAGTGTGTAATATAAAAGCAAATCATTCTTTACTAATTAAATGCAGAAAAGAAGTAAATGTGTATTTCTACTTAAAGTTTTAGGGCATATTCTTACTTAGAGAAAACACAAACGTTAAAAAGGTAGAGTCTTTTTCAACTGATCCTCATCGATTACAGTTTATGGAGGCTCTTCTGTGAACTGACTGATTTGTTTTTGTTTAAATATCAAAAGTTGATAACGATCCCAATCTGTAGGATGTTTTTAAAAAAATGGATGTATTTAAAAGAGTTGTCTCCCATTTTGTGCACAAGCAAAATATAAAATGTAAATGTTATTTACAGTAAGTATTTGTACATTGTTTGAACCTGGAGTTTAACTTTTCACAATGCTGCTAATTCTTAACCCACATGTCAGACGGTTGTGTTTATCTTTAAATAAAAAAAAGCTGTCCTACTCATAAACACCGTTTTAAATAACACCCATGAGTATCTACGAACATTAAATCTTGAAAATATATTTTTAAAGTGTTGAGCTTCTCTGCCATCCAAACTTGCAATTAAAGGCTCTCTGTGCAAAGCATGAAACAAAAAACAATAATAATCATTTATTAAACAGTGCAGTTTGAGTTTACTCCAGTTATTTATGATGTGCAGAAATGTGGGTACGCACTCAGTGTAAACAAAGCACTTTTATCAACTCCGAGTATAAATACATTGTTGACCTATTTATTTCAGGCACTTTGAATGTTTCCAGATGTAAACAAGCACATGTGGTAATTGATTCAAACTTTGCTTTAAGAGACACGTTAATAATCGATATTAGAAAATGTTGCACAGAATCTGTTTTGTGATTTTTTTTTGACTGGTCCTCACGACTTTCCTTTAATGCTCTAGATCCTCAGTGGTCCGGGTTATGATTTTTAAACAAGCAAAAAAGACCCTAATGATCCTCAAGAGGGAGGAAAGGGGGAATGATTTGCATGTGAGTTTATCTTTGGAGCAATACGGTTAAAACTCTGAACTTTCAAGTTTCAATCAAGCTTAAAAATAGCTTTGAAGAACAAGAAAGTAAGTCCAGTTGTCATATTTTGTGTTTCCAGAGTATTTCCTTTCACCTTTAAGCTAAAAGTGATGTTTCAGCAGTAAATGTGCATTGATTAAATAGGATAAGAGCAACAAATGTGGATTTGGACAAATGGCAGACATTTGAACTCTGCAGTCTGGCCCGTGGCATTGATCTCCCACCTGTAGAAGAGTGAGCATCCTACCTGCAGCCAGCTGCATCCAGCCGCAGATCTTGTACACGGTTCCGGTGCTGCAGAAGAAGAAAAGCGCGAAGCAGCCGATGCAGGTGAGGACCAGCGCCATGGACATGGCGATGAAGACCGAGGCGGCCTTGAAGGCGCCGGAGGGGATGCTGCTGAACTCCGTGAAGCTGCCCTGGCAGGTCAGGTCCCGGGACAGCCCGTTGCCGATGCAGTAGTGGAACAGACCGAAGTAGCCCGCCTGCGGGGTGTCCATACCGTCCCCGATCCAGTAGGGCTGGATGAAGCAGACCACGTTGACGATGGCGAACAGGATGGTGAAGATGGCCCACAGGACGCCGATGGCCCGGGAGTTCCGCACGTAGTTGGTCTGGTAGATTTTGGCAGCTTCGGAGGCGGGGAGCATGGTGGTGGTCGTGCTGGGGGCCCCAGGGACCATATCCTCCCCCTGATCTGTGCGCTGCTGCGGGATCACACTAACATCTAGTATTCAGCAGAACTTCGGCTTTTGCTTCTTTTTAAAAAATATATATTTTTATTATTTTGGTCACAGATGAAGCCACAGCATCCTCCCGCATCCGTGGTCGCGCGGTTGTTTTGCGCACCGCTTTTCATTCATCCGAGTCTGCAGAAACGAAACGTGCGCTCTCGAGAAAAAACCAGCGCAGGGAATCCACATGCAGACGATTTATTCTCCATTTGTCCCTTTATATGTTCATCTCTTTTAAACGTCTCCACCTGGGTCGGGTTGTTCTTACAGTCCGCTCCCTCTCAGGGAGGTGTGTGTGACAGAGAGATCTCCCTGAACGGATCCGTCTGAGCAACAACCGCAGCTGAGATCCGACTGAATTACAGTTGGAGGATATCCGTGGATATGACGGGGCCAACCCACATCCCTTAATCCCAGTCTGACGTTTCCAGCCAGCAAGGCGCCAAATCTCAAACAGGCGGATTGACATGAGAATAATGACTCAATTTAACAAGCAGGTGTATTCATAAATTCTCTTGCCACGTGATTTATGATTAAAATAAAATACAACAGCCTCTGTTTCCCCACTTAATTTCTATATAGGTCTGCTTTTTCAGATTATTATCAAACTATATGATTTACTCTTTGCACAAGATAAGCCTACAGCATTATGACATTATCAAGCACAGCATTTTACTGAAAAATACTGGGGTTTTAACAACGTTTAAATATCATCTAACAGATTTTGCATGCTTTAAAATTAATATTTTACAATAAAAGTGCTATTTCCCTGCGTTATGCGCGAGTGGGCGTTTCATCTTCTGAACTACATTAACCAGAATTCAGAGCTCGTTTGTGATTGGCTGACTACAGAGTGACTGTTTCCGGACGCAAACGAGCGCGCGCGAGAAATTTCAGCAAAGACAAACCGACGTTTCCAGTTTTAAATGGCTTTTTCGTCGCGTTTGAAGTTTGTTACTCGATTAGTTTGAATTTAGAGCGCCTTACTCTTTTGTTTTTGTGTACAGAGTGAATAGTTTTTGACGCTTTCACTTTGTTTTAAATGAACATTGGTGTTCGTTGCTTTTAGCCTCGTGAAGGAAGGGAAGGGTCTGGCTGCTACTGCTCAGCTAAAGGTAGGGTTGAGCTAGCTCTGGCTGGACTGTTGTGAACTCTGCATAGTTTGAACCGAGTGGTTTATGGTTGTTGTAGGAAGAGCAGGATGACAGGACTGTTACAACAGCCAGGATACGAGGAGGAGAGGCTGCAGAGAGTCTCGGAGCTGCTGCCCTGCAGGGAAGTCCAGGCTGGGATGTTGCTGTCTCTCATGGGAGAGGTAATCTGATTTAGTTTATATGACAATAAATAGAAAGGTCATAGTTCATTACTACAGAATTCTGCTTTGTAGTTTTAAAAGAATTGGCCTTTGGTAGTGGTTTTCCACGGTTAATAATAAATGACCTGTTTTTAAAATGTGTACGGTTGGTGTAGACTTTGCTAAATATATATATATATTTATATAACGCATTTATAAACAACAAAATGCTTTATGAGCTGGTTAAAAACAAACAGAAAAAAATGGATAAAATGCACTAGCAAATGTTGCTCATTAAAACTAACAGGTATATTAGAATAGGCTACAAACAAACTAAAAAGAAAACAGCACAATGCAAAAAGTCTCATGGGACTGAAACTAAACTAGAATTAAAGCCGGTGTTAAAAAATGAGTTTTAATGAGCGATTTTAAAAGACAGACTCCGAAGTATTCTCTGTGCATATGGAAAATATTGACAGCACTTCACTTTTTTCACAGTTAATGTTACAGTCTTATTCCAAATTGTGCTAAATTAATCTATTTCCTCAAAATTCTGCACACAATACCCCATTATGACAATGTGAAAACAGATTATTTTGAGATTTTTGCTAATGTATCATAAAAAGAAAACCAAGAATTCACATTTAGCACATGGCCAACATCTCATAGGAGTGGCTTCAGGACCAGTCTGTGACTGTCCTGGAGTTGCCAAGCCAGAGTCCAGACTAGAATCTGATTGAACATCTCTGGAGATATCTGAAAATGGCTTTGAACAGATGTCCATCCAACCTGATGGAGCTTAAGTACTTCAAATAAGAATGGAGAAAAACTGCCTAAAGATAGGTGTGCTCAGCTTGTAGCATCATATTCAAACGGACTTGAGGCTGTAATTGCTGCCAAAGGTGGATCAATCAAGTATTACGCAAAGTCTGTGAATACTTACTAACCGTAAATGTGATTTCTTTGTTTTTTGTTTCTAATAAATTTGTAAAAATCAAATCTTTTTTCACATTGTCATAAAGTATTGTGTGTAAAATTTTGAGGAAATATATGAATTTAATACAATTTGAAATAAGGCTGTAACATAACAAAATGTAGATAAAGTGAAGCGCTGCGAATACTTTCTGGAGTCTAGGTGTTGCTGCTGCAAATCCCAGATCCCCTGAACATCAGACTGGGCGATCTCAGCGTTTTTGTGGGACTTTAAAGCTAAAACATTTCCGGAAAATAAATGGGAGCCTAAACATTTAAAAATCTTAAAATCGATTCTAAAACAAATATGGAACCAGTGTAAATCTGCTAAAACCCGAACGTGGTCATGCCTTCTAGTACTTGTTAAAAGACAAGCATCAGTCTTCTGGACTAACTGCAGGCAATGGAGGGATAATTGTTCAAGGCTAAAATATTAAATGGAATAGCTCAATCAGTGTAGTGAGGATGAAGGAGTCAAGAGTATTGAAATATTTTGGAGGATTGTAAAACTTTGTTTTGGCAATTTGGCATACCAGTAAAAACTGGTTTTACTAATTCTGGGCACTTGCTTCTTAAAGTTGAAGATGAGTACTGCCTAAGAGTTTTTTCAGCTATATATGCATGACTGATCTTAAATCTTCCTTATGTTTGTCTTTATTAAACATGATTTCATCTATTTAGTCTAAAGAGTATTTTTATTTGTGTTTTCCAGCCACAGCAGTACTGCTACCCTTCCATCTTTATGTTTGGTCATCGATCCTCAGGGAAGAGTCATGTGATAAATGTTTTGTTGAAGGAGCTGGAGGTGAGAAAGATGTTTTCCATCCATTAAATGAAGGTGTTTGCAAACACTGTTCTTGTTTGTGTGCTTGTTACAAAATCCAAAATAGGAAATACATTTAATGTGCTCTCTTGTTGAAAGAAAACGTTAATTTATTTCAAACAACAAAAAAATGAACAAGTTTGTGTCTGTGGTTTCATTTTGCCTCCCAGACTCTTTCCAGATTACTTAAACTTGTAAAAAAAAAAAAAAAAAAAAAAAAAGCCTCTTAATTATTAATCTATTTTTAAATCAGAGCACTGAGTCCTTTAAAAATATGATTTTTACAAGATTTCTTTCTTATTTGTGAGTTTATTTTCTCGTACTTTCTAAAATGATGCATATAATTAAAGGTTTCAATTTTAGAATAAAGTAACCTTATTAATAAGATATTTTTATGGATTAATAATGAAGATGAAGAATAAATAGTTTGAGCTTTTTTGTTTACTTTAGCCATAAAATGGGCCAGGCTTGTGTTCAGTTTGCAACGATGTCAGCGGACTGAGTCACAGTGATGATGGTATATTTACTCCCCTCACATCTGATCGTCTTTCACCATCTCTCCTCCTCTTCCTCTCTGCAGCTTCCTCACGCCACAGTCAGCTGTGTCGAGTGTGTTTCTGCCACATTGCTGTTTGACAAAGTGCTGCTGTCCTTCTTTGGCAGCGACGCTGCCTCTCTGCTCCCCCGCAGTCCCTCCTTGTCTGACTTTGTACGCATCTTCAGACAACATTCCTCCCAGTTTCCTGCCAAGCAGACGCGATACATCGTGAGTTCTCTACTTTTAAGCCCAAGTAAAGACGTCATTCCTCCCATTTCCATGGTGCATCCAGTTGTTTATGCTTTGTTTCTTTTTGTTTGAGTGATAATGTAATTAGTTGTGAGGCAAATGCTAAACAAAGCTCCAGATGTTCTACCCTGAAGAAATGAAATGGTAATTTTTTTCCCCCCTCTTTGCCAGAACTGGTGTGAATTCAATCTAGTGTTTTGGCTGAAAGTGTTTGCTCATATATCACATTGTCACTCCCTATAACACTCATTCACAGCTTCTTCTTTAGTGAGTATAAATACTACAGAGGGAAACATGCCATATGTGTGTTTTTCAGATAATGGAAAAGGCTGAACTTCTGAGAGACGCTGAGGCCAACCTCCTCCCTGCTCTCCTTCGTCTTCAGGAACTGGTGAGAAAGTGCCGCATGTTGTTCTTGGGACTTTTATTAGATAAGGCGCTTTGTTGTTCCACTGTGTAGATGATGAAGGGAAAAGGAAAAGCTTCATGTGTAAGAAGTGTCCTTGAGCTGAGTGTAAAGAGCTCTTTCATAACGCTGTTAAAAAAGAAAAATGCCAAACGCTCACTGCATTTTAATTAAAGACTCGAATGATAGCTTTCTTTTATTTCCGTACAAGCTGAGAATGTGTCTCTTTAATGTGCGTCAGAGCTGCCCCCTGCTATGTTGAAGCCATAATAAAGCTGGAGGTATACTACCGTATGGAGGATGATGTTAAAAAGAAGAGTTTTGTGTATTAAATGCACATAGTTTTTGCATTAAAACAATTCTAGGGCAAAGAGAAAACGTTTGATGCTGACATTTACATGGTTAACGCAGCTAATCTTCACTAAATCATTTTGTCTGTTTCCTCTTTTTACAATCATTTCAAGATTTTGTTGATCATATATCAACAGTACAAGCTTCAATAAAGGGACCGCTGGTTAAATGAAGCTAATATTGAGCAGTGTTATTTATTCCTGCAACAACGAAGTAAATAAAACATTTAATCTTCATTGATTTGGAGTGTGCCCCATTTCTAGTATTTAGTTTTTTTATGTAATTTTGAGACTGCATACTTTATTTATAATAACAGTAGAAACATTTATTCAAACTAAAGCCTCACTTGGTTTTATTGGTTTTTATTTACTTTATGTTGTAATGATTTGATTAGACTCAAACTAATGCCTGTTCTAATGAAGCCGTTTTAAAGTGCCTTTGACAGATTTGGTTGTTTGGGCTTGATGGTGCACAAAGTTGTTTTTTTTTTCAAACAGAATATAAAATGAGCCACTTTCTTCTGTGAAGCTGTGATTTTTGTGAATTTCTTCCTGCACACAGCACAGCCTCATTTCTGTTTTCTCTTTTTGTTAGTGAGCATCACGGTGAGGTTTCTGACTTGCTGACAGTTTTTCTTTATTTTTGGCAGCTTTGTGACTTTGTCAGCAAACTTAAAAAAAAAAGTAAAGTAGCAGCAAGATGCACAAACTGCACTTTGAGAATAGAAAACAAGCACTGGTCTTTGCTTAGTTTACTTCTGCAAAGGTGGTGCAAATGATAGATAGATATAGATGTATATAGATAATGTATAGATATAGAGACAGATGGATATAGAGTAATATATATGTATATAGATAATGTATAGATATAGAGACAGATATATATATATATATATATATATAGATATATATATATATATATATATATATATATATATATTCGTAACCTGAAACTTCATGATGCATTCAGATGTAAATTAAGAACTTACTTAGAAATTTGTACTTACAATATTAGTGTTTTTACAGTGAACTGTTTGTCTTTATAAGAATAAATGTATATCATTTATTTTTCTTTCAGTAATACAATACATCAAAGCAGTGTTTAAATTGAGGGATTATTCTTTAATATAAACTGAATAAGGAGAGATGGTTGCAGCCATGGACACGACCTCTCGCTGAAGTTCAAGATGACATATTTGACACTCTGTCTATGTTTTCTTCAGGTGGAGGACAACGTTACTGTCATACTTCTCAGTGAAATTGTTTGGGACACGTTCAGACCAAACACCGGCTGTTTTGAACCACTCCTGCTCTATTTCCCTGACTACAGTAAAGGTATTATCATCCTTGCACAACACCGCATAATGCACGCTTTGCTGCGTGTGGTGTCAGATTTGTACCTGTACATTTATTCTAGCACCTTCAACGACAACTGTAGAGCGAGTTTTCTTCACGGAGCAACACTGTATAAATTCAGCACTTATTCTGAAGTAACTGGGAGAATCTACATTACTGCTACAACACTTATTTCTTCCACTTTTCAATTTGTCTGTTTGCAGGTGAGCTGCAGCAGATTTTGTCCAAGGACAGACATCCTTCATATTCAGCTGAGTTTTACTACTCCTACATCAACATCCTGCTGGGGGTCTTTTACTCCGTCTGTCGGGACCTCAGAGAGCTGCGACACCTGGTCAGAAACACAATACTGTTCTAAGTCACTGCAGCCTTGATGTTGATTTATTGTATCAGTAATTTATTGTTTTGTCCAACCAGGCTGCTCTCAACTTTCCCAAGTTTTGTGAGCCTGTAGAAGCAGGAAAAGGTACAGAATGAATATGAATACACATAAAATACAAAAGAAGTACAAACGAGCTGAGTGTTTTAATAATAGTTTTACTTTACCTTCTTGTAGGAATGCACAATATTGGATTTTTGGCTTACAGTGAGGAAAATAAGTATTTGAACACCCTGCGACTTTGCAAGTTCTCCCACTTCGAAATCATAGAGGGGTCTGAAATTTTCATCTTAGTCCACTGTGAGAGACCTGGACGTGTGCTGATTTAAGCAGGGGAACCTTCCGTGCCATGCATGATTTTAAACTATGACGTCTTAGTGTATTACCCACAGTAACCTTGGAAACAGTGGTGCCAGCTCTCTTCAGGTCATTGAGCAGCTCCTCCCGTGTAGTTCTGGGCTGATTCCTCACTTTTCTTAGGATCATCGATACGCCACGAGGTGAGATCTTTCATGGAGCTCCAGTCCGAGGGAGATCAACAGTCATGTTTAGCTTCTACCATTTTCTAATAATTGCTCCAACAGTTGATCTTTTTTCACCAAACTTCTTGACAATTGCTCCGTAGCCCTTTCCAGCCTTGTGGAGGTCTACAATTTTGTCTCTGGTGTCTTTGGACAGCTCTTTGGTCTTAGCCATGTTAGTAGTTGGAGTCTTACTGATTGTGTGGGGTGGACAGGTGTCTTTATGCAGCTAACCACCTCAAACAGGTGCTTCTAATTTAGAATAATCAGTGGAGTGGAGGTGGAGCTTATTAGAGGCGGACTAACAGGTCTTTGAGGGCCAGAACTGTTGCTGATTGGCAAGTGTTCAAATA